GGAGGAACTAGGAAAATATTCCTTATCAGATGGATTCTGGCAACGGCTCGATCAAAAAGTTACATTACCTTAGCTATCGCTTCGTCTGGAATTGCTGCGACATTATTACCAGGTGGAAACATTGCCAATTCAGCTCTTTAGCTGTCATTGAACATATAAATGGCCATTCACATACAACTTTCCTCGCTTTGCTTGACAGTTCAAACTTTGATAACAATATTTGTAATATAGATAACAATATAATAATATACATTAATAATAGCAATAAAAACTCCAATTTATCCTATTTTTGTCATTAAATGCAAATGCAAGCGCACGAGAAAAGATACATGTAGAGCAGCTGATTGCCAAAGCGGGCAAAAGTTGGGAGTTGCCCAAGATTTTGCTTCGTTTTGCTTTGCTTTACTTCAAACGTTTTTTATGTGAGCATATGCCTACATCGATTTTATATGTCAAAGCAAAGAACTATCAAGCAAAGCGAAGAAAGTTGTATGTGAATCAGCCTTAAATCATCGAAACTCCTACGTGCAATATTTCCAGAGCATCCGGCATGGAAAAAGTTTACCAAAAAATTAAATTCGTTGTTTGGGATGAGTGCACCATGGCACATAAAAAATCGTTTGAGGCTTTTGATCCATTGTTGCGAGATTTGCGTGGAAACGTTCAACCATTCGGGAATGCACCGATATTGCTCGCAGGAGATTTTACGAAAACATTGTCTGTAGTTTCTTGATTAACACGAGAGATAAATGCTTGCCTGAAATAGTCAAAATTGCGTCCAAGACGAACATACATACACTGCAGCTGAAGTATTCGCGCCACAATAACTGGACATTGGGAACGCAAAGTTGCCAGTCAATGAGAGATTAAGATGAATTTTATGGCCTGATAATTTTTGTAAATTAGAAACATCGAAAGGAGAACTGATCGAAAAAATGTTTCTTTATTAAGAAAATTAATTTTAGGAATCACGATTGGCTCAGTGAACGGGCTATTCTTGCTGCGAAGAATAAGGAGGTCTATCAACTAAATAATAGTGGTATTGACAACAGTCGTTGCTTGATCTTTTACCAGACTGCCAGACCACTTGCTCACTTTGATGAATACCACTAATGTTATTCAATCCAGCATTCAACGTGAGGAAATAGCATATACGTCGATAAACACCGTTGTGGGAAAAGACCATCCAACGAAATTTTTGAACCCGATTGTTCTTCCAGGGAGACCCCACATACCGAAATTGAAAATAGGTGTGCCAATTATCATTTTGCGGAATATTAATCAGCGAAAACTCTGCAACGGAATGCGACTCGCAGTTAAGAAATTGATGAAGAATATAATGTAAGCAAAGATTTTAACGTGGCCTTTCAAAGGTGAAGAATTCCCATGATTCCATTTAATGAATCATCATCAATTTAAAAGATTGCAATTCCCAATTCGATTGACATTCGGAATCACAATCAATAATGTTCCAGGTCGAACTTTGGAAAAGTATGGTTTAGATTTAGATGCGGATTGCTTCTCAGATGTTGCGTGTTCCTGTGTCGGCAAACCAGATATTCTTGATATCTATGCAGAGAATGGAAAAACAACAAATATTGTGAGCACACAAGTACTTATTATATAACCAAACACATATAAAACGTATGTGTGTATGTGATGACGAAAGTAGTGTAAGTAAAGATTTTAACGTGGCCTTTCAAANGTAATATTTTTATGAAGTTCACAGAGGAAAGGCCGGAAAACAATGAATTGGCAACGACATAAAATGTATGGCAATTTAGATGTCAACAGAATAATAGCTACGATAAAAAAGCATCAGAGAAGTGTGCGAAGAAGGAAATCTTTCAATTTAAACAAAAAAAGTTTTAAATGCCGTTGTAAAACGGTCAACAAATTTCTTATAAAATATTTTATTTATTTATAGTTAAACGAGCTACGAATGCCGTTTAACACAACGCAAGAATGCACCTTTCACAAAATTGAATTCCTTAAAATTATAATTCGGCACAACGCAAAAATGCAGTATTTATGAAATTGAATTGTTTAAATTGAAAACTTACATATTTATATTTATCTATTATTATCTTGAATTATCCAACTTGTAAAACGTATTTAGTGAATACCCTAACTTGCATTGTAAAGGTTTTATAGTTGTTTGTATTGAATTCGAGTGGTTGGCAACGCGCGTTGATAATGCAGCGCGCAGCTGACATATAGGTTGACAAATGTCAACAAAGTAAAAAAATACATATACAGAATTTTTCCAATCACCTTTTCGTGCGGTCGCAAAATTTTTCTTAAACTCGAATAACCTTTTTATAACTTGTTTTAATAAAGAAAATTGTAAATTTAAAGTATAAACGTTCGGTTTATTATTTCGAGTGGTCACATTCGTCTCTCGCCTAGTAACTACAGGCGCGCGGAGGAAAATCCACCTCTTAATATTGGCGCCGTTGAAAGTCGCTCGACTTTGTGCAAGGAAGCAGCCGCGGATTCGCGCCTGTGCCAGGTCACCGAACACGGAAGTGCAGCAAGCCCACCCCGCAAGAGCCACACCATTGCCGATTATCGCCCATCGTAGCCGTCGCCGTCCGTCAGCAACAAACCGCCAAAACCATCGCCAGAATCACCACCACCACCACGATCTTTGCAGCCTCCAGCCACAGCCTCTCGTCCGTCAAAGCACATCAGCAACGAGCCGCCGCATCCTCGCCAGCCTAGAGTCGCATACCATCTCTCCGTCCATCCCCATCCGGATTTGAGCCACCAGAAAAAGAGCCGACCCCCCTTACTAATTTATATATTTATTAACAGCTGTAACTTTTCATTGAAATTACAAGTTAAGAACTTAGATCTATGGCTACAAAGGCCTTAAGCTAACTTCTTAGTTGACATTTTTTTATTATTATTATTATTATTTTTTATTCATATTAAGAAATACAGTTTGCAATTCTTAAAAAGTCAATAATTAATAAAATGTTTTGTGTGGTAGGATCTGAAAGGTACATGAATGGATTTTGGTTTGGAAAGGTCTTTGTTCTGAAGTAGTCGAAGGACGGACAATTAAGGAGGATATGATTGACGGATACGTGGTTAACTCTGCAATAGGGACATGAGTTTGCGATGGTTTTATCTATTAAGTTCTGGTGTGTAAGTCTTGTGTGTTCGAGTCGTAATCGTATGTATTTTGTCAGATCGAGTCGTGTTAGAAATAGATGTAGATTCATGTTTGGGAATGTGTTAAGTTAGTTTTGTTCATATTGTGAGATTTGTACCAGTCAGATGTTTTATTCCATACGTTGCGTTCAGTTTTTTGTGTAAGTTTAGCTTTCCAAAATTTGGTGATGTCTTTGTGGCTTAAGTTGCATATTGTGTGCACAGGCGCCGTCGTGGCTAATTTCGCGATCTTATCGGCGAATTCATTACCGGGTATATTTGTACGTCCAGGAATCCAGACAAGCAATATTTTAGGATATAGGTCCATTAACATATTTCTTAAGAATTCTGGGTAATAGTCGTTGTTGTTTACATTAAGGATAACTTTAAAAGACTTTGCGATTTTTTATTAAGTTTATGGCAGAAAGAATAGCTATTATTTCCGCGGTAGAAATAGATGTATATTCTGGACAGTTAGCTATAAGTAAAATAGGGCTTTCTGTGGTAACACTCAGTCCTATGTTGTCCTGCACTTGGTATCCGTCGGTGTATACAAGTATTCTATCGTCCATTTCACATGTTAGTTGATAGAAATATTTTCTGAATGTGTCCGCCGTCGTGTTTGATTTATGGAGCTTGCTGAGACTTAAGTTTATTATGTTTGCTTTGAAGTGCCAGGGAGGATATTTACGGTTTAATTGTTTAATGGGTTTGAATGGTATATCATTATTTTTGCAGTTAACTATTATTTTTGGAATCGTAGAGTTGGGTTTTAGAACTTTGCTATTTTTATATTAATTAACAATGTTGGGTAATACTAGGTTCACATATAAGTAGATTGTCCTCATTTTCGAGGTTAACTTCCAATTTGCCTGTTTTGTCATAAACTGCGTTTTAGTAACATTTTTTCTTTGAAATTGAGACCGGGAAATGGTGATCGTTATAGGAAGATGATCACTTCCACGCAGATCGTCAAGAATTTTCCAACTAGCACCTATTGCTATGTCGGGACTCGCGAAAGAAATGTCGATGTTTGTAAAAGTGTTATGTGTTGAAAAATGTGTGGGAGACCCATCATTTAAGACTATGCTATTTCCTTGATTGATAAAAATTGCTATGATTTTACCTCTTCGATTATTGGATACGAAACCCCACATATTATGCCACGCGTTGCAGTCGCCGGTTACAAGAAATGATTGGTTATGTTTAAATAGTACGTTTTCAAGATTAGTTTTGTTGAAACTATGGCTGGGTGAGATATATGTAGAGAATATTGTAATTTTTTTTGCGGAATGAATTTCCACTGCTATAGCGTCAAAGTCGTTGTTAAGTACGATACTTTTGTGTTGGACAGAACTGTGTATCAGCAAAGCAGCTCCTTCGTAACTGTTGTATCCATTAACTGAGTAGAGGAGATAATTTATTGGAATGGTAACTTGTTCATTGGGCCAAATATGTGTTTCCTGTAAGGATATGACTTTTAGATTGCATATTTTGATAAGTGTTAGTAGTTCGTAGTAATTGTTTACGTAACCTCGTATGTTCCATTGCAATTGTCATAAGCAATCTATAGGTATAAATGTATCTATAAATACATCTTAGTCTTCTGAATGCTCTTCGCTTTCAGCTATGGTGTTAGTACTATCTGTTAGTATTCTTTTACAGTTGATCGGTTGGGTGTATTGGCTTCTGTTGCTATATAACCTTTTGAGCTGGGCTTGTACGCGTTTTGAAGTCTTTATTGGTAGGATTTTAGTCGTAGTTTTTGCGTTTTCAGATGTGGTCGCGTTAGTCTGTGTTTCAGAATCAGATTCGCTTGGAAAGTCTGAGTAGTCGACTGCTTATCTTCTTGTGGTAATAGGTTTTGGTAGTAGTTCTGCTGATGGTGTAACAGTTTTGTTTATTGCTGGGTTGGTAGATGTGCTTCTGTTGTGCGCCATTGTTGGTAGGTTGTATTGCTGATTACTTGTGTTGGGATTATTTCTTACTATTGTTGAGTATGGTTGCTGATTGTGTTGGTATCTTTCGTTGTAAATGGCTAGCGCACCTTTGTAGTCTTTTTTGAGTGTAGTTTTAATCGCTTGTATTTCTTTTTGTTTGAGGAAGATGGGACATTTTTTGTCAGTGGCGGAATGGTCGGTGGGTTGTTGTAGTTGTCTAATGCAGTTTATGCAAGCCTCCTCGTTTTTGCGTTTCTCTTTCATATCGTCGTTGAAGTGATAATTGCTTGGGCAATTTGCGCATGTTTTTTCAGCTTTGCAGATTTTTGCTGTATGACCATANGAATGGTCGGTGGGTTGTTGTAGTTGTCTAATGCAGTTTATGCAAGCCTCCTCGTTTTTGCGTTTCTCTTTCATATCGTCGTTGAAGTGATAATTGCTTGGGCAATTTGCGCATGTTTTTTCAGCTTTGCAGATTTTTGCTGTATGACCATACCGTTGGCAATTATTGCATTTGAGTGGTAGAGGAATGTAGGGCCGAACGTTGACTTTTTCATAACCGATTCTTATCTCTGCTGGTAGATTTGTTGTTTCGAATGTGAGTATTACCAATCCCGTTTCAGTGAGTTCGTAGTCGGATTTCTTTAGGATTTTCTTAACTTCAATTACGTTTTGCGTTTTTAATTCCGAAAGTATGTAGTCTTCCTGTAGTCCTCTAAGATCGTTGCAGTAAATTACGCCTTTTGAATGGTTTAATGTTTTATGCTGTGTTATTTCTATGGATTTGTTGTTGTCTAGTGCTATTAGAGTCGTTAATTTGTTAGCCTGTGAGTTATTTTTTGTTTTAATAAGGATTTGTCCATTTCTGGTTTTCTTGCACTCTTCTATTTCACTGCCGCATGTTGCGTCAATTGCTTTTTTAATTAAAAACGGTGAAGTATTTGATAGTGTCTGATTACTATTGGTTCTTGACATGCTTAGGTAGGCTGGTCCGGTATTTTTAAAGTTAAAAGATTTTGTTTTATCCCATTTAAGCATGGGGATATTTGATTTGCCTCGATCGGGCGGGTCGTCTATCCCCATTTTAAGCGATTGAATGTATGTATTCGCGGATATTATATTTATGTTTGTATGAAGTATGGTGCGAATATAGCACAAAAGAAAATGTAGACTACTTCTTGCGCAAGAAAGCACTACCGTTCACTATGCGAGTGAGTCAGTGACTGATGATAAAATATTTTGATTTTTACCATTATAAAAATATTACAAGGTAAAGTCATTGAGAGACAGTCTAACGTTTGCCAGCAATATAATTTAAAAATTCGAACTCAAGCTTACACACATTCTCATTTTTAATCTCAAACAACAATTGTGAACAATTTCATTTTTTTATTTTATATTTTATATGATTTTCAAATGTTTGCAAATGTCAGAAAAAATCATGGCCGACGAATTAAGAGAATTGTTTTACTTTCTAATATTTTTATCATGATTTTTACTGGGTATAATTGAAACTCAGTCAAATGAGTATTAAGGAAAAGAAAAATTTGAGAATAATAAACAGAAAAAAGATGGGTGCACAAAACGTTAAGTTAAAGGTTATACCAAAATTCTTAAAAAGTAAACAAATACATTTTTTTTAATGTTACTGTATAGAGCTCTTTAAATCTATTATTTTTTGTATGAATAAGGCCATAAGCATATACCGTTTGTATAAATAAATCTTATAGCATGATGCTATATATTTATTTATACACTTTTTGGCTGGCGAAATATGTAGTTTTTTCAACTTAATAAAAAGAGTATTTAACCACACTAACATTTTTTTTAATATTGAATGGCGCAACACAACAACTCTTTTTGACGTCATTCGCATTGTTGTTGTTGTTGTAGCAGCATACAAGCTCCCCAAAGAGTCTTTGGGGAGTGTTTCTGGAGTGACAGTCCTTGGCCAAATATAAATCTAGGTCGTTCCGGTTGCGTAGACCCAACTGTCGTGGGAACGGTCAGATTTTTGTAATTCGTTTTGGTTCCACATTCTGCTATTTCGTAATTCTTTCATTCTCATGTCATCCATCTTCCATTTCTTACTTTCCATTGCCGTTCGCATCGTCGAACGTGCCTGTCAAACATTGTTGCCATCATGCTTTTCAGTTTGGCAGGCACGTCCGCTGTTATAAAGAGAATAGACAAAAAGGGACATAGGATTCCATACTTGTAAGTATATACGATGGTAACAGGTGCCAAAAAACCTGTACGTCAAACTACTTTTGTGAGAGTAATATTACGTTCAAATTGGCCCCATTTAACTTGTTAAATGAAAAAAAGCTTTTTGTAAAACACAATCGTCCACATTGAACATTTCGAGTTAACTTTGACGGTTGATTTCAAATAAATGGCATGCAGGGTTAGAACTGCGGCAAGCTTAAATCGGAAAATCGTAGCAGAAAATAATGTGCCATAGTAGTATTTTTTATAGGTCGCTCGTTTACTGGGGAACGTCATAATCCAAAGAGACATTTTTTTCAGTTAAGTATGCAAAAATGGCTGCCGATCCTTATTTTTTATTCGCCGAAAAATGCGTTACGCTATCCTCCAATTGTTTCCCTGGAACTTAACCCTATAAACCTTAGACTCTACAATCTCTCTTTAGCCAAAGTAAGGAACCAAATGGATTTTTAATGACAGAGTTATCATCTCATATTTCAAGCAAGTGTTGCATATTTTAGCGAAAGAGAGGATAAAACTATCTTTAAAATACCATTTCAACTATTATTATCGTGGAAAAATTACGAAATTTATGCCATTTTCCAGAAAGAATACCTTTAAGAGGCATATTTTTGTTTAGATATAGTATGTGCTACATAAAAATAAAAATTAGTCTAATATTATTTATATTATACCTTAAAAATTACCTGAATTCATCAATCCATGTTTGTATTAAAAAGAAAAATAATTTTATTTTATGTTTTTCTTTTTTTAGTTTAGATACTGCAAAAGGCGTACTTTATTATTTTGGAATTAAAAACGTAGCAGATCGTAGGTAAAGCGGAATAGCGTAGAGTATAAAATTTTCTCTGAAACCGTAGTAAATCTACTACGATCGTAGTGAAACTCTAACCCTGTTGGCGGCTCATTCTGATTGGCTGAAGCAGAAAGCTTTGTGATACAACTCTGCGCTGAACTGGTTTTCAAACGAGTTAAATGATTTAACTGGTTCAATTTTCCAACAACAATTGCATGCGATTTAACTTGTTTATGAACATGTTTTGTTCATTTAACTGGTTCAAGCCCATTTAACATGTTAAACTCGTCAATTTGAACATAGTATAAGGCTTTCAGCACATTGGTCGCCCAATCATAGTTTCTTCATCGTCACAATCATGATGCGACGATTACATTACGACTACACTTTCGCCCACTCGGTCGTGATACTTCAATTCATTTGGAGTCTAAAAATTCACTTGGAGCAGGTATTTTCTGTTTTTTTGGTTGATATTTTCGCGAAATATTTACAAAAACCTGCAATTTTTAATTAATTAATTAATTAATCCCAACGGCTTTTTACCCTCCATTCCCGCCCAACCGACACGAGGGGCGCAGTCCGCATGACGTACGGAACCTTTTTTTTTTAGTTTTTTGGTGCCGAGTAGTGGAAACAGGAGTTTGTTAAGTGTCGAGATCTAAAACTATTCAGCTACAGAATCAAATTCATCAGCTGATTGGATAAGCTAAAGATAGTATTTCAATTATTGAGAGTGGAAATAATAGTTTTCTTATAGTAAAAATCGAGTCCGATACGTCAAACGTGCTGGAATGACAGTTAAAAGCCTGACATAAACCACGGAATGATTCGTTTAGTTCAAAATTAGTTTTGCATGGCTTTAAAAATAGAGGTCGAAAGTGTCTTGACACTCGTGAAGGAACATTAAAATTTACCTCAGCCAGGAGGGCCGGGCTATTAATCAAGCCTGTCATTTATTTTACGATAAATATTATACCTAGCATTTCTCTACGGCTTGCGAGTGGAGGCAAATTTATAAGCTTTAGACGACTTGTGTAAGGGGGGAGATTGTAATCTGAATCACAGTTAAAATTACGCAATGCAAAAAGCAAGAATTGTTTTTGAATTGATTCAATCCTTTCTGAATGAACTTGGTAGCGGGGATTCCAAACAATAGATCCGTATTCTAGTATAGGTCTAACTAAACTGGTAAAAAGAGCTGTTGTAACATAAGGATCTTTGAACTCTTTTGACCATCGCCTTACAAATGAAAAACGCCTTTGGCTTTATTGACTGTGACATTAATATGATGGTTGAAATTGAGTTGGGAATCCATTGTGATACCAAGATCGACAAAATTGGACACCTGCTCCAGATTATAATTTGATATTGAATAAACAGCTGGTTGAACAGCCCTCCGAGAGAAACACATAACTTTACATTTTTGAAGGTTTAGTGGCATATAGTTTGTATTACACCAACTAACCACGTTGTTNGAAACCATAAAATGATTTAGGATTGTTAATTAAATTCTTCTTACTTTTACATAAATATGAATTATAACCTTTCTTATTTAATGCAAAGTAGCTATGCCGCAAAACTGAGTACCTTAGGTAATCACTGTGTAAGCCCGTTCTTTTATACAGTTTAAAAGAGTGCGACCTTTTTATTTTTCAATTTTTTAAGCTCTTTAGTTAACCATAATTGTATTGGTTCTTCATGAACAAGTATAGACTGTGCTGCAACAATTCTAGACATCATTTTTCAGTAATATCTCTTTTTGTCTTTTCCTGAAATGTGTTTTGTGCATGCACACAAGGACTTTTTACAATTCCGTCATATTTTATAGCTAAAATGCCCACATTTATTGAATTTCGATGCAATTATCCACTTTTTAATAATTTCCACAGATTTTATGCAAAAAATACTAATTTTTATGCAATTTTGATGCAAATATTAACTTTTTCACAAATTTTTCCCCATAAAATGTAAACAAACAATGCGTGCACAACGATTAGCAAACGACAGTGCCGTACTTATCCGTTTCTGCATCTTCTACGGTTTGCCGATAACGACAAGTGTGCAAATCTCCTTTGAAATGCATGTGCTCGGCTCAAAATTTCAGGGCGAGACGATAACACAACTATTATTGGACGACAAGTGCGCAGATAGCCTAGCTTGCACTTTCTCAGTCAGAAGTAGGGATGTTCGATATCGTATCGATTATTCTGAATATCGATATTTCATGTTGCGATAATCGATTGTTTGAATCGATACTCCCAGGTCGATATATCGAAGACATCCACCCCTATTGCGAATGTCGCCTGGCAGTAGATAAACGACTATTAAGCGACTATCGATTATCGATGCTATTGCGAGTGTCGCTTATAGGGCTTTCGCACGCGGCGATTTTTCAGGCAACTTTTAGTTGAAAGCAAAAATCGCCTCGTCCGAACGGCCTTTCAACTAATCGCTTTCAACAAAGTTGGTCGCCAGCCAACTTTGAGCTCGTTCAACTTTTTTTCCTTGCAACCCTGTGTTTGTTTACATTCTGTATCAGTGTTGGGAAAT